TTTATAATGGGCACTGGCTGCATTAACACTTTTATAATGTGTCATGTTTGCATTTAGCTCTTTTATAATGTGGCATGGTTGCATTTAGCACTTCTTTAATGGTCACCGTCTGTATTTAGCACTTCTATAATGGGCCCTGGGGTGAGGAAAGTTCTCGGGAAAATATATGGGCCAACAAAGGATGAATATGAATGGAGAATGCGAACCAACCATGAATTATACAGTCTATATCAGGATCCCACGATACTAGCAGAAATAAAAAGAGGCAGGCTACGCTGGGCAGGACACTTAGAGAGAATGCCAAATGACAGAGGAACGGAGAGGGTGCATCACCAATAACCCAGAGGAAAAAGGCTCAAAGGCAGACCTAGGCTTAGGACAATAGATAATGTGGAAAATATCTGCAGCAGCTGAAAGTCCAAGCATGGAAAAGAAAGGCATTAGTTAGGTCTGAGTGGAAGGAAAAGGTAAGGCAGGTCAAAGCCCTACATGGGCAGTAGCGCCACGGGGATGGATGGATGATAATGGGCCCTGGTTATAGTTGGAACTCCCATTTCTATAATGGGCCCTAGCTACATTTAGCACTTTTATAATGTGCACTGGCTGCATTCAGCACTTTTATAAAGAGCACTGGCTGCATTAGCACTTCTATTAAGGGGACTGGATGCATTAGCGCTCCTATAATGGGAACGGGGTGTATTTAACACTTCTATAATGTGCACTGAATGTAGTAAGCACTTCTATCATAGGCACTGGTTTGTAGTTGACAGTCTTATAATGAGCAGTGCCCCATTACTGAATTGCACTTCGCCGTTTCAAAACCAGTATTTGATAGTATTAAACCACAATAATGCATGCACTGCTAATATTAATGTAAAGCTCCTATGTGCTGAAAGAAAACAACTTAAATGGCAGCAGCAGTACCACACATAAGTTAGGAGTCTTTTAAATCGTTCAAAATGAATCTCCCATGTTAAAATAAATAGTCCACATTAATTATCTCCCATGTTAAAATAAATAGTCCACATTAAATATCTCCCATGTTAATCAAATAGTCCACATTAAATATCTCCCATGTTAAAATAAATAGTCCACATTAAATATCTCTCATGTTAAAATAGATTTCGCTAACGATCTGTCAAAATACTATTACTAACAATTTCAAGCTTCTAAAATTTCTTACCTGGATTTTTAAGTCATATAGCCTACTATAACTTGACCTTAATTTATCTATTTTAATATTAGTGTTCATGAATAGCTTTTCTAGATAAAAGGTTCATATTAGTGTTTTTTTCTGTCATCAGAGCATCTGATGTCAAAAAAATTATTTAAACATTGTTACGATTATTTTACGTAGGCTATAGCATAATACAGCTGGGGTGGCATAAACTTAAGTAACCCATGCAATATTCAATTCTGGGAAATTTTATCATTTGAATCCCCTGCTAAGGGGAAATAATTTCAACCTTCTCGCAGATAGGTTTAGATTAATATATTATATATACATGGGCGCACGCAAAGGAGGGGGGGGGGGGCAAGGGGGGCCTCCCTGGATTGATTGGATTTTTAAAAATTAGACAAAAATAGACAAAAAATGTATTAAAGTAAAAAGAAAATAAAGATAAAGTAACTAAGCTGATGTCCTGTCCATTCGTTCACCATACAAATACGCTACAGTAAATTAAAACTNCCCCCCCCCCTGGAAAGTTAATCGATTTTTTTGCCCCCCCCCCTTTTGAAAGTTTTCTGCGGGCGCCCATGTATATATATATATATATATATATATATATCAAACAGTTGATTTGTATATGAAATAAATTGACTTGCAGACACAAGTTTTTGCTTTATATTTTATATGTTGTAGAAAATTATTAAATTATTATTACTTTTCCACATGCTTTTCTTGTGTAATTTTTTTTTCAAGTTTCCACAAAAGCTTCCAAGGACGTCCATTATAATGTAATTGGTGCGTCACACACAACTTTCCACTACAATTAATTGGGAATAATAAAACATCAAGGGACACAATTTCGGCTTCCCTCCCCTGATTTTGTATAGTTAATTTATTTCATGGAATGTACACACTTTTAAAACTGCAATATGAATAGTGGCTAATTAAAAGGTGGAGATAAAAAAGGGGGAGGGTGGTTTCAATGATATTAAATGGGGAGGGGGGGCGAGTACCCCACTAAAATACTAATAACGAATTTAAAGCATATTTTATTTAAAAAATAAATATAAACAAATATTTTTTTTTATTTTTCGGAATTACTAAGGATCATTTGCGCAGACTCGCTACAAAGACATCTGAAGACATGGAGAGTATTGTTTTTTTTTTTGGGTCTAAGTTGGACACGGTTTCAATTGAGTTTAGTAGTTGTCCATATATTGACCATTATCCATTTTGTCGGTGCCATTATCATTAAAACACACACACACACTGCCAGTTTAATCGTATATTTTGATGCTCTTTACAATTTAAAGTAGATTGTGTAAAAATAGGTGAAGGTCAGCAGACACCGGTGTCAACACAAAATAGCGTGTTGACAAACGTGTGTCATTGGGGTGGGGTGTGTCTGCACCATCTGTGCTCATCTCATACACTGTACCGGCGCAGGAGCAGTGATCCTCAAACTCACAATTAGTATACAGCAGATACTATACGGTAGTAAACCGAGATGGAGAGCGTTAGGCACTTGACATATAGCAATGTAACCTCGCCATGTACAAATATAGCACGTAGAGACATGGGCGCCCGCAGGTAGGGGCAAGGGGGGCCACCCCCCCCCCCCCACAAAACCCCAAACAAAAATAAAACAACAACAACAAAAAAAAAAAATAAAAAAAAAAAAAAAAAAAAAAAAAAAAAAAAAAAAAAA